GGAGCATCTCCTGTTGGTATATGAAAAAGGACGACGACTATGCCAAGTAGTCAACTGCAGTTGTAGGAGAAAGTTTTGGGATGGGCAGAAATGTAGTTTTTCACACACTTTAGTTAGTTTCTATGATATACTGAGGTATTTTCCTATGAAATACATCAAGTTTATTTAATAAGTTCTCATTGTTTTTTTTTTTTTTTTTTTTTTTTTTATAGTTTCTTGACCATGATCCAAAAATGTCATATTAATCAGCAACTAGCTTCTGAGTTGTAGGAACCTGGATTTATTGGGAATTGCCACCCAAAACATTTTTCCACAGTGTACGCTTCAGACTATTCGGTGATTATTATGACCAGACTGGCTAAATTAGACTCTTTGTTGTTCTTGGAGAACCTTTCTCAACGTTGTCTATGCTCATTCAGTCAGAAAATCCAAAAGAGTTGAGGCAAATATTCTAAATCTTTCTAAATGTCTAGTTCTCTGTTGATGGAAAGAGAGTAAATACACTTTTGCTGGACTGAAAGGCCAACATTATTGTCCTTATCACATTAATGGGTCTGTGCCTTGTTTGTCAAAGATATTAGAAGATGCTGGGCCTTAGGTAAACATACTTCAACATCATCTTTGTCTGCACTTAATAATACAATTACACTGATGTGACAACATCCAGTTTGGCACAGACTTTTTGTACATCTGGAGAAATTACACAATATGAGTTCTGCAGTTCCCTCATGTCGTATCAATCAAGTTTCAATATTTTTTTCTGTACAGCAGATTTCACCAACAAGGCAGTTCAGCAAGTGCTTCACAGCACAACACAAAAGTCACAATGGCACCATGCAGTCACCAGTTTGAGAACAAGAATTACATTTTTATCAAGTCCTATCATCAAAATCAATGACACACATCACATGTTGATCAGTGTATCATTTATTATGGTTCAAAGGCAACTGGAAACTGGTGGGTTTTTAGTTTTGTTTTAAAGGAACTCAGTGTTTCAGCTACTTTGCAGCTTTCTGGAAGTTTTTTTTTCCAGATTTGTGGAGCATAGAAGCTGAATGCTGCTTCTCTAATTTTGATTCTGTAGACGCAGAACAGAACCAGAAGACCTGAGTGATCTGGAAGGTTGATACAACAACAGCAGATCTATCTAGCTCATAGGTAGATTCACTACTGGAAAATGTACATGATCAGATATCATAGCAATGACTAATTAAAACTACTTAATCTCGTGTGACTCTGTACTAATAGTGATTTACTCACTGAGTTATACTTGATGTCTAAAACTGAAAGTGAAACTGACAACATCACCTACTTTATGCTTACCTTTGCTAATTTCTGACCGATTGGGCTTACTAATGCAGCATTAAAATTTAATTCCCAGATTATCAGTTAATCCTTAAATATATATAAAAAAACACGCATAATTCAAACTGGGGGAACGTCAACCATGACGTACACATGCTTCAAAGATGCGACAGGCATTGATATGCTGCTAAATCCACTGTCTTTTCTCATGTTCCTTTCCGACACAACATCCATCTTTCAATACCCAAACCTACATGGCAAGGTAGGAAACAGTTACTTTAATTATCATTTTATTCTAGGTTGGTATCCAGGCTTCATTTTTTATGTTTCTTTTCCACTTTGGGTAACAACTGAATGACATTGGAAGGAAGAGAGAATATATAACAGGAAGATTAGAAAACCTATCACTCTTTTAATTACATATGTGATGAGAAGCTTCATGATTGGAAAAAAAAAAAAAAAAAAGCAAAAAAGTCAAGGTTGAGTAATTGGGACCCAGCGGCCCAGTGGTACTTTCTGTCTAGCACCGATCTTACTGATTGGATCTGTGTAGAATTATTACTGAAGCAAAACATCTGGGACTAACGAATGCATTAGTTTACCAGAAACAGTCATGCAGGTTTTTAAATGGTTTGTTAGAGTAAAAATGTTTTTTGTTCTACCACTTTATATGAGTGTTGGAAGACATTTTATGGTTTTGAAGCTTAGCTCCTGCAAATAATTTGAATAAAATCTTATTTTGTCATCAAAATATAATTTCTACAGCTTTATAATGTTACTGTTGTTGCAGTAACATTATAAACCTATTTGTAATGCATTCATTACAAATAGGTTTATAATGTTACTGCAACATTAGGATGATTCAGGACAGATATCTGCTTTTAAAAGATTCAACAAATGAACACAGTTCTGGTGTTTTTATGTCCAAACAAAGCTTTAATTATGCTGATGAAAGCATATCAATATGCTCAAGTTAAACATACCACAAAAGTGCTGTAAAAAAAATAAATCGATATTGAATTATAGAGGTATTAAATTTACTATGAACAAAGCACACAATTATTCAGCAATGTAATTACTTTAGCTTTGGTTGTGTTGTGCTTTGGGAATAATTTGCCCCTGGATACAGTCCGTCAGGCAGTAATTTAAGTTTTTATTCCCGAGGGTTACTGAAATTGCTCCATTCATTTGCTAATATGTTGTTTTCCCAAAAAATAACACTCTTTGAATATGTCTATTTTTTGACAGATATGTTCTTTAGCTTGATGACAAAGTTGGAGTAAAGACCCAAAAAATGACAGAAAAATGCGTATTTATCCTAACTTGTCTATTTGTATGCATTCATTCATTCAACAAACCTTTTAGCAAATAAAACAGTCTCTCTCAAACACATTCAGAGTTATTTTTAGTCCAGCTTCTTTTTCTTTTTTTTTCCTTGTGTGTGTCTGAGCACGACTGCACAGAGGAAATACTGACCGTCTGGAAAATGTACAGGAACTTTATTAAAGAGCCGTGCCAGAATGCACGACGGCTTCAGCGCTCTGCTAATGGTCGGCTGTTCAACTGCACAACACAACCGCACACCGCGGGCGTCTGTGGACGTGCGTTCACACACGCATTGAGCACGGCTGCATGTGCATATGCACAAGCGTGTGAATCTATGTTTAATCTTAATACTTCAGCTCTTAGCTGTTATTTCTCTGAAGCATGAGGCTTGGGGGCAAAGAGAGGGAGACAGGCAAGCACTGCGTTTTTTTCCCTATCAACCTTAGTTTCTGACAAATTATTTGTTTTTTTTTTAATATGTAGAAACCTTATACTTTAGGTTTGCATTCCAAATTTTAAAGTAATACAATGAAGGGAACAATAGAGATGGATTAAATGCCAGTACTGTCATGTTTTGACACTAAATCTCATTTGCAACATACAGAGCCACTGCATAAATTTGAGTATTATTGAAAAATCCATTTATTTCAGAAACACCTTATATTGATAAACTTTACAGGTGGACATTTGAAAGCCTTAATTTCTGCTAATTATAATGATTTCTCACATATAGTTGATGAAAACATGACATAACACATTTTTTTATCAAACATATTAATACAGAAGTGTTGGCTTAATGTAAAGTATGTTTAATGCCAGCTTTTAGGATATTTTCAAAAGGGACTTTTGATCTGACAAACGAGTCTCATCAGAACAGATATTCTAATTTATCGGTGATGACTGTAGGTATGTCAAAGTATTAACTGAATTTGACGGGACAAAAAAAACCCCACAAACAATGGAAACAATGACAGAAAAAGCTTTTGAATATTCTATAAAATATTCATATAAAACTTTGATATGTGGCCTGTTTTGAACCCCTGGTTTTTTTTTTGACCTGCTGATATTTTCAAATCCAAATTATTAGCATATAGACGGACAGGCTGAACGTCCAAACAGAGCTGCTCTGCTTTGAAACATGGAGTTTTCCTGTTACCTGCTGAAGTTTAGCTCTCTCTCTCCATGTCGCAGCCTGATCATCTCAATATGAAGTAGAAAATGCAGTTCCCTTTTAAAAAGCTTCTTCCATTTCTGCTTAAACACCTCACTGATGCTGAGAAAAGCTCATTTCTTCCCACAGTAACTACTTTGACAGCATCGGGTGTTACAGTGACATTACCCAGCAGTGCTTATGAACTCTGTTCAGTCTTGTAAGATTACCAGAATATTTTTGACCTTCCAGCTCCTCTGTACCCACCTGTTTCCAGTCATAATCCATATCTTTGTGTGAATCTAATATACGTTATTGTTTTCCAAACTAGAGGTCCCATCGCTGCAGCGTGTGTTAGAACCCCGGGGAACAGAACATTTTGTCTCTGCGACTTGCAAATATTTCTTCTCTCACTAAGCTTTATCTTCCTGCTTCTCTGGTGGAAAGCAAACTCTATCTAGTTTCCTGCATGTCTCTGTGTTTTTTTTTTGTTCCCTCCTCCTTTGTTTTGTTTTGTTTTGTTTTGCTGTTTTTATTTCCTGTAAAATAGGCTGGAGGTTATTTTTCTGTGATTAGATGTGCAGCCACTGCTTCTCCCTTCGTGTTGTTTGGAAGGTGACTGATGCGTAAAATCTCTCTCGGTGCCGATTTCATAGGGAGAGAATAATCTGGACGCACGCAGCATCTACAAAACAAATGGTTACAGTAGCGCTCGAGGTAGTGAAGCTGGCTAACGTATATGAGCTCTGTTAAAGCGAAAAAACGGTGCGAGTGTGAACATGTTTTCAGTGAAATTTTCACCTAGTGATTTTCTTTTATATATATATGACATTGTGGTGAGTCCAGTTTGTGGGTGGTTTAAGACAGAACTAAATGTGATTTTGATTTCAGTCGTGAAGTCTGCTCAACTTGTCTTTGTCTGCTACTGAGCTTTCACTACGTTGCATCACTTTCATTTTCTGTCGACGATTCTCTCCACTCCTCCTTTCTGGCTGCCTGGCATCTCTTTTCTCATTCTTTACCTCTTTTTGCACTTTTCATTCTGATAATTTTCCCCATTTTTTCTACCTTAATCCTCCCTAACGTCACCTTTTGTCAAATGTCATTGAATATATCTTCAGTGGTTTCTTCCTTTTTCTCACAATCATACTTTGTCTAATTGGGCTCTTCGCTCTTACATAATGTCTGTATCGTTTCTCCTCTCTGCCGCCCCCCTCAGGTACCCTTTGGAATCTGTCGTCCTACGAACCCCTGAAGATGGTGATCATCAACCACGGGCTGCAGACCATGACCAACGAAGTCATAATCCCTCACTCGGGATGGGAGCACGAACCCAACGAGGACTCCAAGCCCCGGGACGCGGAGTGGACCACCGTCTTCAAGAACACATCCGGCTGCCTCAGGTAGGGTCCCCACCAAACTCGGTTCTACACAACAGGATGGATCTTCTCAGTCCGGTGTGTAGCACACATTTACAGGTCACCTACTCACAGCACAAGTTCCTGTATCAGTCCTTTACAACGGTATTCATGCGACATTGCCAACTTAATTTATTTTATTAGGATTTCAACATAAAATATAACACAATTGTGATTTTTATATATAGTTATATAGTTAGCTGCTACTTATTTGGATTCTCAAATGTATTTAGATCAGGACTTTTACCTGAACTATTCTGTTGCAGCTCTGACTATATTTTTAAGGTTTTTGTTCTGTTGGTTGTCGGACTGGACAATAAATCAATAGCAATATATATCGCAATAGATATGATGTAATCAATACCAATAGATAGACTTTTCAGTCATTTCAATGAACTCTGATGCATTCTGGGGGATGTAGGCAGAGGAAAAACTTTAGCCATTCAACCTCTCACGGTGAGTGGCGTCAACTAACTCACTCACTCTTTGGTTGCCTAGCAACAACGTGTTGTCTAACTTGCGCAGCAGCAGTCTCATGTTTTCCACAGTGCTTCAAAACTGCTTATAAATAAAAACAAAAATCAATGCTGTGGAGAATAAGGAGAAAATGAATGCAACAGCTTGAAGGGAAACGGAGGATAAAACAGGAAAGGTCACGTCACCAGATATTTAAAACAAAAACCTAATCAGTAATTATCAATATTGACTGACATGAAACCCTCATGTCATGATTTGTTTTTCAACCATGTTGTCCAACCCTAGATGGAAGGGAAACATCCACCTCAATCTCAATTGTAACTGGTTTTTCTCTAGGATTGGACCATATTTATCATCCCTCCTCCTATCAACCAGGTTTCCTTTTCCCTGCAGGAGGAAAACTTTCCTCACGGCATGACTGTGTTTTGCATGCAGACCGAATGACTTGTAGTGTTTTGCATGCAGACTGAAAAGTTCAACTTTTGGTCTCATCTGAGCAGAGCACGTTTGCGCCCATGTTTGCTGTATTTCCTTCAAGCATTGTAACTAGTGCTTGTTATCACTGTTTAAGTGTTGTGTTATTGCTACTTTTCTAAAAAAGAAAAAAGAAAATGAACAGTGAAGCACAAAGACTAATAGTTGTTCTCTATTAAACCTCTGAGCCTTTACAGAACAGCTGGATTTATGCTGAGATTAAAAGTGCAGACAGATGTTTTCTGTTTATTAATAGAGTGGCTTTGCCCTAGATTTCATTTAGCGATTTCAGAGTAAAGTGGCCTGAACACAGTGGTGAGCTGCGCTGCTCAGATGTTTACATATCATCCCATCTCTTCTTTCCCTCACACTGTACAATTATGTTTTCAATCGGTGTTGCTCTGTCACATAAAATACTTAGAAGCTCTCAGTTTTAAATTCACCAAATGTGGAAAAGTTCAACACTTTTGCAGGGCACTGTGGATGAGGGAGCACATAATCAATTTTTATGCAAAAGGTAAAAAAAAAATGTATTTTGAGTAAAAGTATTTAAATATTCGTTTAAAAAAATAAAGGTTAGTTTGCGGAATCTCATTTATTTAAATGTGGAGCTGTTCTATGGGTTTCAGGGCTGATTGAAAACTGTATATATTTTGGTTTTGGACCAGCGTTTGGCTCACGTTGGATGGACGAAGGATAATTAGCTGTAGTCCCGCTCCGACTGTCTCCCGCTTCATGCAAAGAAAAACAAATTAGATTTAAAAAGGCTTCCAGGGAATGTTCCCAAATTTTTTTGAAATGATAATTTAGAAAAATACAGAGTTGGCTTGTCTTGGTTTAAAAAAAAATAAAATAAAAAGAAAGCCAGTAATATGTTTGAAAAGCTCAGACAGATTAAAAGCTTCTGGACCAAACCAGTTTTTAGGAGAAGAAAAGACGCAGAGAGACAGCAGGCACAAATGAGGAGCCAGATGGTCCATTTATTCAAGTTAAATTTTCAGAGTTTCCAGTATGTGCACACATTTAAGTCACCGTCCTGGATTTAACCGAGGATTACTTTAATATACACAGTGGAAGGGAAAAAACCCCAAAGCAAAGCCCCTTCATGTTTGCTGTGACTAAGATGCCAGTTGCAAAGTGAGACAGGTGTGGTGTATATTAAACTGTTAGTGGCCCGCGGGTCAGGGTCCGGCATAAGCTCTATAGGTGCTTTATTGATTTACGGCTCAGCAGATGCAGGGTTCCTCCCATCCTGACCTGTGGGTGTTTGTATGCAAGGAATGCTGGGTTGTCTGTACTGGGATCAGTGGGCGATTTTTGTCTGTGACAAAACATTAAACCCATCTGCGTCTCGGACCTCTGACCTCCGTGTGTCCACGTGCAACATGCCACCACTTCTGAAGAGGTTTGGCAGTCTCTTGTTTTGTGGGAAGTAGTTCACCTGTAATCTTTCTGTTTTTCTGTTTACTGCAACCACACCACAATCTGATCAGTACCGGGTTCCAGAAGGGTCAATAAAATGCAAAAGCCAAAACACAACAGTAAAACGCCATAACAGAGGTTATGCTAAAGCAGAAGTTATGGTACTAAGTTGAGCATAAATTTAGTTTTAACCTGAATTCCATTGTAGAATAATTCTGTTTTAGCAACATTTTCTTTTCGGCATTACTTCAGTTTTAGCCTAAATTTTTCTTTAGCATTAGCCTACTTCTGGTTTAGCATTCCTTCTGTTTCAGCCTAAATTCTGGGTTAGCTTTAGCTTTCTGCTGGTTGGACATTACTTCTTTTGGGGCTTTTGTTGCTGTGTTATGACTTTTGTTTTTGCACTTTTGCATTTTGTTGACCCTTCTGGACCACCATAGTTAACAATCTCAAACAATCAAACACTTACATAAATATAGTAAGCCCCCAACTTTGGGCTTACAGCTTGAGTGTTGTTTAAAAATAATCAAACAGTTGGGAGGAGCTGGGTGATGAAATCATAACTACTGAATAAAGCTGTAGGCAGTAGGCTGAATTACACTGCTCTGATTTGCTTGTTTCCATCTTTGTGCCTAAACATATATTCTCAAAATATGTCCACTGTTACATTTATGATTCAGCTTCCTTACCTAAGGAGTCATTTCTTGAAAAAAAGATTATATAATTGTACCTTAATAACTTTGGGATAAGAGGAAAAAGATTTATTCCCACAGTCTTATGAAATTGCCTCTGGCTGTGTAATGTGGTGGATTTCCGTTGTCACAGAAACGACGTCATGTTTGTTCACATCTTGATTGGTGGATGTATCAGTGAGGTCACCTGCTCTCTCGTTGTTTGCAAAATGTTTTCTGTGGGGGGCTTGAGCCTTTCTACCAGACCACTGTGGTGCATTTTAATCTTTAGGATTGAATTGTTGTTTTGTAAAAGCCAAAAATAGAAGGTAGAAAGTTTCCTGAATTCAAAAGCAGTTGGATTGGAACAATTTGTGATGTTTTATCACTTTTATACCTTGACGTCTTTGACTAATATTTCAGGTGTATTTATTCATGTACAGTTAAGGTCAAAATTATTAATGCAGTAGAGATTTAAAAATTGTATTCACCACAAATGAGACATCTTGTCCTTCTGAATAATAAATGGATCTTTACTGCAAAAAGCCACATTTTTAAAATGTCTGATCAGATTTTTGCATGTTTCCACTCGTATTTTTAAAGATTTATCTTCGTATTGGATGGCCTCCTAGCCATTACCCTAATCTTTACTTGGGACTCTGACTGAATCCCTCCAAAACATTTATCTTACTTCCACTCAGAAGAAATGTTTTGGTGTAATTGACATATTCCAAGAGTATTAATAACTTTTGGTTATAGTATTTAGTTGTAGTACGCTGTTCTGGAGGAATGTAGAAGAGATTTTAGCAATCTTTTTGGGAAAGCAACATTAAAGCTTTAACAAATCACAGTGTTTTAAAGAATTAGTAATTAGCACAGAATATTACAGTCCAGATTTGACGAGTTATTGTATTGCTTTTTATGCTTGTTTTATTCTGATAGGGTGCTAATGGCAGAAAAGTTTTGAAAAAGCTGCTTTTTGTGTTTCCTACATAGTGAATAAAGGCTTTATGTATTTTAAAACACAGAATATTTGTTGAATGTAGAATTATTCGGTTCATAATCAGCCTTAATGTTAACGTGAATTGCAACTCTGACTCAATCGGAAACTGTAAGAAATCTGTTTAGTTTAGGAGGCGATAGAAAATTCACTCAGGCCCCATTTCTGTTCTCAACCAGGTCCCATTAATCCTGCCAGATTACATGATTTTTAAAGATGGCGCTGTCTACCACGCTTACATAAGAGTTACCAGTCGGTCAAACCAAGCGTGTTTATTAGCAGACTGTGTCACCTCAGCAGGGTAACTCTAGATCTACTTCCCTTCTCACTTCAAAATTAGACACGTAGGCATCGCTACAAAAGGTGGTCAAACTTAAACTACACGGTGTGACGGCTTTCCCTCAGTTTAACGACGACAAAGTCATTCCGACAGCCTCTTCATGGGACGGACCGCACTTTCAATTTTACTATTGGATTTGCGAGCTCTTGCACCGGGAGCCAAATTGAATTCAGCCGAGTTACTGTGACGTTAACGCTAAACACCTGAAACCTAAACCTAATATTTCCAGGAGCCTTTGAACTAATCAGTGTAGGACTGTGTTCAGCTGAAGCAGCTGCTCCCACGGCTCCTTTACAGCAAGCTTTGCTTCAACAGCTGATCACTAGGGAGCCGTTTAACGCACGCCCTCCTTCCAGGCCGCCGCCGACAGACACTTCTACCTTCTCGACGCTCTGATCACTTTTACTCTGAAATACGTTTCAGCTGATGTCGTCAGTGTTTTCTTCATCACTTAGGTTACTCTGCTTCAAATTGGAAATGTTGAGGAGGACGTCGTCTTCTTTCCCTGAAGCGTCTAGAGAACTCATTACCACTATGAAAGCGTCGTTCTTCTGTTACTGAATGGGCAGGGTTTTTTTTTTTTCTGTTAATCTGAAACCAAAGGCCTTTTGAGCCTTTTTAGTGAAA